TTCTATCCTGGGACCACATAAAAATAAACAAAGGTATTGTGTCCATCTACAACAACAAAAAAGTTCAAGATCAGCCCCAGCAATTTAGTAAAAAAAGGGTTGGGGATATAGCTCAGTAGTAAAGTGCTCCAGGGTTCAATCTTCAGTACCAAGAAACAACAACAACAAATTTGAATTAATATAAAAAGTAACAAGAGAATCTTTTTCAGAAATATTTTAATATACTGGTGCTGTTTATAGAATGTTGTTACTCCAGAACTACCACCACTTTCTGCAAATTATTTCCTATTATGAAACACTTCAAGTATTGGAAATGAGTTTTTCTCAGCGGTCAAGTTTTCTGAGTTAGTTTTAATTTAATAAAATTTTATTTCCCCCTAAAATTTATTTTTCACTTTTCTAACTACTCCCTCCTGTTTCTTCACATATTTTATTCTAGATTCAACCTATTTTATTTAATTTTTATTTTGAGATAATTTCAGATTTATAGAAAAGCGAAAGAATAGTAAAAAAAGAATCCCCTTATATCCTTTACCAATTCACCTAATGGCAACACATTATCACAATTGCATATCTCACATATATCCATTTACTTATAATTTTTGAACCTTTTGAGGGTTAACAGACATAATATTTCTCTACCCCTAAATGTTTTAATGCATGTTTTTTAAAAACAAGGACATAGTTTTAAAGAATTGTACTACAAATTATCAAAATCAGGAAATCAAATGCAGTGGAATATTACCTGGCAATAAAAGGGAAAGAAATACTAATTTATATAACAACATAACTAGATCTCCAATATTTTGTAGTAAGTAAAAGAAAAAAAAAGAAAAGAAAAAAAACCCAGTTTCAACAGGTTATACATACACTGTATGACATTCTGGAAAAGGCCAAATTAAGGAGCTTAAAAAAAAAAAAGTGGTTTTCAATGGGAAATGGGTTCATTATAAAGGCTGATAAAATTCGTTCATAGTTTAAGTATGGTATAGTTAGACAACTTTATGCTTGTGTCAAAATTCACAGAATCATACATCAAAAAGTGAATTTTCCTATTTGTAAATTTCCCTCCAGTACTAAAAATTGAACCCAGGCATGCTACACTGAGATCATCTCCAACCTTTTTTTTTTTTTTTTAATCTTATTTTTAGACAGGGTCTTGCTGACTCACTCAGACTGACCTTGAACTTGTGATCCTCCTGCCTCAGTTTCTCTAGTAGCTGGGATTACAGGCTTGTGCTATCAAGCGCGGCTCCTATGTATATTTTTAGAAGTGGGAAAGCAGGGCTGGGGTTGTGGCTCATTGGTACAGTGCTTGTCTAGCACATATGAGGCACTGGGTTTGGTCCTTCTTAGCACCACATAAAAATAAATAAGGATATTTTTTTAAGAAGAATCGGGAAGGGGTTGTGACTGTGGCTAAGTAGTAGAGTGCTCACCTAGCATTCATGAGGCACTGGGTTCGATCCTCAGCACCACATAAATATAAAAATAAAGATATTGTGTCCACCCAAAACTTTAAAAAAAGCAGGAAAACAATTTGAAATTTAATATTGACAGATTTAATGTTATTAGCACATTTATACACCTTATTCACATTTTTCTAATTGTCCCAATAATATTCTTTTTTGTAGAGAAAAACTCAAATCACAATTAACATTAGTCATCATGTGTCATGGTTTCTTGTAATCTGAACAGTTACTTTTTCTTTGTATCCTATGACCTTGACATTTTTTGTTCAGAGTAGATTGATAATTTTGTAGGATGGCCTTCAGTTTGGGTTAGTCTGATGTTTTCTTATGAGTAAATTTAGGTTTTGTAGTTTTGACAAGGGGTATCTCAAAAGTAATGATATGTTATTCTCAGTATACCATTTAAGAGGCGCATGATGTTAAGGGGTGTCTTCAAGATTTTTCCACTATAAGGTTACTGTTTTAACCTTTGTGAATATTAAGTATCTTACAGAGAAATATTTTGAGATAATGCAACAGTCCTGCTAACTTATCAAATTTTCACTTGCTGACTTTTGCATCTCTTGATGATGATGATGATGATGATGATGATGATCCCACCCGGCACTGGCCCCTTTTAGTACTAGGGATTGAATCCAGGGCCTTGGGCATGCTAGGAAAATGTTCTGCCACTGAGTTACACCCCCAGCCTCTTTTTTTTTTTTAAGTTGTAAATGTACACAACACCTTTATTTATTTATTTTTTAAATGTGGAGCTGAGGATCGAACCTAGTGCCTTCTACATTCGAGGCAAGCTCTCTACCATTGAGCTACAACCCCAGCCCAATCTCCAGCCCTTTTAATTTCTTTTTTCTTTTTTTTTTTGGCACCAGGGATTGAACTCAGGAGCACTTGACCACTGAGCCACATCCCCAGCCCCTTTTTGTATTTTATTTAGAGACAGGGTATCACTGAGTTGCTTAGCACCTTGCTTTTTACTGAGGCTGGCTTTGAACTCATGATTCTCCTGCCTCAGCCTCTGAGCTGCTGGGATTACAGACATGTGCCACTGTGCCCAACTTAATTTCATCTTTTTAAAAATATTTTTTAGTTGTAGATGAGCACAATATCTTTCTTTTCTTTCTTCCTTTTGAACCCAGTGCCTCACACATGCTAGGCAAGTGTTCTACCAATGAGCCACAACCCCAGACCCTTAAATTTCGTTTTGAGACAGGGTCTCACCAAGTTGCCCACAATCACCTAGAACTTGTGATACTCCTACCTCAGTCTCCCAAGTTGCTGGGCTCACAGATGTGCAACATCACATTCAACAATGATGATTCTTGCCTGCACCATCTAGTTATCCTTAAATAGAATTTATTGGATATAATTGAGCTTGTTGATCCAGAGCAATTAAGCACGTTTCTTATTGGGTTTCCTCATAGATAAGAGTGCAATCATTGTATTGCTGAGGTCTCCTGAGTGATGTTAGAGAGCCTCTGAGGGCCACCCAGGCAACCACTTTGGTACGATGACTATTTCATCATTCCCACTACTCTTAAGACTAGAATTCTTTACCCGTTTTCACTGGCATTCAGCATTTTCTCTTCAGTATTAGAAGGATATCTATTCCTTGCCCCTGGTGCCTAGTTTAACATCCCTGCCTGTCTTATGTAACAACAGCTTTGGATTTTTTGTTTAATTTTTCATGATGGTAGAAAAAAGTTGGTTAATCTGTCTAAAAAAACTGTCACAATGTTTGTGAGTTTTCTTTTTCCTCTTGGCTAAGAGTTATTTTTAACACTACAACCTAGTTTCCTCATTTGTCATGTTTTATTGTTATTAACTCAACTATCTCCCCCGCTCCCCTTTTATTTTGGTACTAGGGTTTGAACCCAGAAGTGCTTTACCACAGATCCACACCCCCATCCCCAGTGACACAGTCTCACTAAGTTGCTTAGGGCCTTTCTCAGTTGCTGAGGCTGTCCTTGTATTTGAGATCTCTTACCTCAGCCTCCAGAGTTGCTGAGATTATAGGTGTGTAGCCCTACCCCCGGACCTTTCCCCAATTTTTGGCAAAAGTTCTCATTCCTTTTCTTTCTTTTCCAAAATGAGGAGGGTAATAATTTAGAACTCTGAAGTTCTTGCTTCTTTGATCCTTTGCTTATAGCCTATTTTTCTTCTTTGTCTTAATTTTAGCATCTCTTAATCATCAAGTTAAATCTTATAAAGATTTCTGCCCAAAAGAAATATTTTGGGGTTCTGATCTGTCATGCCAAAAAAGGCAATGAACAAAGCACACAGGTGTTAGCCACAGTAGTGAAGTTTCTGAAAGAGCCTTAGGTAACAGTGCATTTTTCATCTTTTACTACCTTTAAAAGTGTAATATCTGGGGCTGGAGCTTTTTAAAAATATTTTTTAGCTGTAGATGAACACAATGTCAGTGGTAGAACACTCATTTAGCACGAGTGAGGCACTGGGTTCGATCCTCAGCACCAAATAAATAAACACAATAAAGGTATTGTGTCCATCTATAACTAAAACTATTTTTTAAAAAAAGTGTTAATATCTGATACAAGCAAAAAAGTATAACTTATATGTAGGTTTAAGACACAGTAATGATTATATAATAATTATTATTTCATACATGCATGAAAATTTTCAGGTAAATACTTATGGGTTGTATAATTTCTGGACCTAAAAATAAGCTAACTCCCCAGTCAGAATGTGACAACTATATGTAATATAATAAATACATTAACTTCAAGTTTTAAAATATTAATGTTGCAAATGTAGTTGCAGAAAATAGAATTCAAGTAATAAATAATTTGTTTTTCTTGAATTTACCTTGAGATATAGTGGTTTACATTATGTCAATTAGCAGATTTTTAGCACTTTTTGGACTCATTTTTTTACTTGGGACTATTATTTCACCCTACTTAGTTATACAAATCTGATTGACATTTTAGATTCGTAACTACTATTTGAGGTGAGAGTGTCAAGAAAGGTCTCTAATCCTAAACCACTGATTAAATATTGTTTTGTGTTAAGAGTTGTGCTACTTAATTGACAATAAGCAAATATGAGAAGAAGCAGAAGAAAAAACTGTTTTTTGGGATCCATACTTGGAGATTTGTGCTAACCAAACATATACAATAGCCGGGAACTAGTTATTTAAAAGAGTGTTTTAATTATTGTGGTTTAACTTGTTATCAACTAAGTGTGGACTGGAACTTCTTTGTGTCCAGTGTCAACTTGTGTCAAAGGATGATTAAACTGGACTTCCAGTTGATGTGATCTTCTGGGCAATGCTTAAACATAGATGAAATATTTTCTACCCAGATCCCTGCTTACATTTTTTTATATATATGGGCATGTATTTTCCTATACATATATGTATGTCTATACGTATATAAATCTTAAAATGAATAAATGCATAAAATATACATGACATTCTAGCTTACAGAATTAGAAATGTAATTCAGTTTACTTCCACAGAATAAGATTGAAAATAATGAGAACTGAATTAAAGCTTACTTTCTTTCACAGAATTCCTCAGAGAGAGAAGACTGTAATAATGGTGAACCCCCTAGGAAGATAATACCAGAGAAGAATTCACTTAGACAGGTATGAAATTCAGTCTTACTTAGAAAATCAAAAGCTATCAGCAGACAGGAAGTCCTTGATTTGCCGTTCTTTAAACATTGGAACTTAAGTTAAGAGTCTTATACTCTGAAGTTGATCTGGCCATAGCCATCTGTCAGGTAATATTATGTACAATCATTTAAAAAAATCCTAAGTGCAAAAGCAAAAGATAGTCAGTTGGTTATATGTAGTTAATGTTAAAATCAAAGAAACGGAGTCCTGTTCAGGAATAATTAAGTTCTTCTTAAGTACAGAATAATTGACTCTAAATCTTATTTTCCTGTTAAGATTTTTAATACTTTTTTAAAGTTAATTACCAAAATAGATCTGCTTGTAATTAAGTTAGCTTGAGCAATATTTTGTTTGCTTTTTCTAGAAGTAAAGGCCACTATCGATGATTTCTTTGAAAATTTTTTTGTTCACTGCTGTGTCCCTACCTCCAAAAGGTAACATGTTTTACTTGTGAATGTTCAATTCTGTGGTGCTCTTTCTTTAAAAAATAAAATGTCTAAAATACTGGCCAAAAAAAATTTCCTTCTCACTCCCTATAGCAACCTCTAACATCAGCCTCACTAATTGAAAACAAAAACAAGTTCTTTAAGTATTGCCAAAGAATAAAAATGCCATCTATTTTTTATATAAAATTGGATAAGATGAGGACCAACAATAGTAAAAATAATTTTAAGGTACTTGCATTTAAGGCATTATAGGACAGAGGGGAAGACACCTAATATTTGTTGAGCACCCACAACAAACATGATACTAATTCTCATAGTAACCCTGTAAGGTTGTTGGATATGATGTGATTTCCAGTTTATGGACGAGGAAAATGGAACCTTGGCAAGGTTAAATGACTGTTGTGAGTCAGTGATTTGAAACTCAGATCTCACTGGTGGTAGAGTGTTTCTACTTCTGCTTTCTGACTGCTGTTTTTTCATAGTGTTAATTTAGAGGGAACATATTAGAATGAAGGCACAGTCATTTTTTATTTGCTATATGTTAACTTTTTTTTTTTTGAGCAGGCACTTTTTCCTTCTTTATAAAATAATTGTTTTACATGGAACTGAGTCAGTTCAGGAAGCTTTGTAAACAAACAAATGATTAGTAATTGATGTTGATACAGTTACAGTTTTAACTATTTGGAATTTATTTAAGTCAATAGAACAGTATTGAATAAAGTAAATTGGGAGGTGGGAACACTGCCCACTATACAGGAACAACCATCAGAAAACAATGACACGACAAAAAGTTTTGGCAACTTTATTTAAGCTAACAAACGAATTTTCACTCTGCAAAGTTATAAATTAATTTTAATAGGCTGATCCAGATGGTCCATTTGGAAAATGGATAGGCTGATCTGTTGAAAATTAAACTAAATTTATCTCTCTCATACTTCAAACTGAAGCAAGAGAGAGAATCGTGCCTATTAAGTCCAGCACATACAGATGGACCAGCAGGTCACACATGGGACTAATCTGATTCATTTTAAAAATAAATGCATACATTATTGAATCATTTTCTACTAGCAAGATCTGTTCTATGTAGTATATGAAAGAGATTTAGTGTTGTTTTTTCCATTGCTGTTTTAGAAGGTTCTCTTCATCCCCGCCACTTTAATTTAACAGCCCTTTTTTTCCCTCTAGTGCTCCAAAATGATTTTTCTAATATCTGTCATTCAGTGTTGAGATCCAAGCTCAGGAGATTAATTAGGTCATGAGGCTTTTCGCCCTCCCTTCTTTGTCAAGGGTTTTATCTCTGTTCTCTTTGTGAAGAGCATGAACTCAATGTTCTTGGAAAGAGAAATGGCCTTTAGAAACAGGGAAGTAGGAGATCCTCCAGGGGCCCTCAGAGTCTTTTAGCTTCTGGGTGTTTTAACAGCCCCATGAATGCAGATTTGTAAATTTATTGCAGTGCCATCTGGTTTTTTGCTCAAACCAGATTACTGTTGGCTTGTGTCTGTCTATTGTGGTGGTCACTCCCTAGGAGCTTGCCCTCTCAATCTTAGGGAAGAGTGATGAATAGCAGGGGTCAATAGAAATGGGTCACAGGGCAGCTGTCCAGGACTGCCCTGAACTTGATTACCCCATTGCTGATTTTTTTTTTTTTAAAAGAAGGACATAATATATAAACTGTTTAAACTTCTCCTTTTCTTTATCGGGTATGACAATAAGGAAGTGCCATTTGCCATCTCCCCCCACTCCACAGTAGTCATATTATATAGACCAAAAAAAAAAAAAAAATTAAGGCCACCTTATACCTAGTGTTGATATAAGCAAGGTTTGTATCATGTGAGCCAGTCTCTTGAGATTATTTTACAGGTGTTTCTAATGGGATTTCAGGAATTCTCCCACCATTGATTATAAAAAGTTCAGTTATGTTCTAACAATTTAGTATTGTTTTAAACTAATTTCTAGTTTCCATATGTTATTCTAAAGTGGAGTTTTGCCATTGTTGTTAAGAAACAACAGTGAAGAACTATAAAATATTGGAGGAGCTAAAAGAAAAGTTATCACTAGAGTTCTTACATATATTAAAAGAATAATAACAGGATATTACAAACAACTATGCCAGAAATATGACAACTGAGATGAAATAGACAAACTCCTTGAAAATACAACCTAAAACTAACACAATATGATACAAAATTTGAATAGCCCCGTATCTATTTCATTGAATTAATTATCAAAATGCTCATGTGGTTTCACTGGTGATTTCAACTGACATTTAAGGAAGAAATAATAACAATCTTTATATAAAAAACTTTTCTGAAAAATAGAGCAGGAGAGAAAATTTCCTGTTTTGTATTATAAAACCACCATAATAGTAATTCCAGAAACCTGACAGATATTACCAGAAAAGGAAATGAAGGAGAAAGTTGGGAGATGTGACTCCCTGTGTTTCCAAGTCATTTTGTACACCTGCTTTTCCATTTCATTTCCAGGAATAGGGGGATGGAGGGGAGTAAAGCAGTGCATCCTAGTGAAGAAAGTCAATTTTCTTAGTATCAGAATAATCTTCTCATCTCTTGGTATTAAGTATAAACTTTTACTTTAAGGATGTTCAAAGCAGATACAGTTTTCTTTTACTCCTAAAATGTGAAGCCAAAGAAACCACATCTACTGTTTTCATGGCTTTTATTCATATCTGTTATGGAGGGCAAAGGCCTTGCAGGGCACATGAAAGTACTCATTACTTTTTGAAAATGTAGCATTACAACATGCAACTCCTTTGCTTCACATTGGTGCTAATAGGATCTGTCAGCCCAGCCTTTCTCTGTAATTGAGTAAATTGTGATGCTGTCTAATCCTTCTTCCAACCCCCATTCCCTTTGTGTATGTGTCCACTTTCCATCCTGAGAACGTGGGCAGTGATAAATAAAGCATTGAGTAGAGCTCTCTCAACTCTTTGAAAGCAGCATGATGCCAGCCCTCTAGTTATATTTCTTTAAGTGTTTACGTTTTTCTGTATTCTTTCTCTTGTGTAGCTGGAACCCTGGGGATGCAAAGCCATGAGAGAGGCCAAGAAGCTAACAAAGTAGCTGTCTCCCTTGTTAGCTTGTTCCTTTATTCTTTAAAAACAAGATAAAAACCATCTGGCTCAGGGCATTACATTTTCCTCCCCCATGCACCTCTATAGCTGGAGCCTTCACCTGCAGTGAGGGTTTACATTGATTAGGGAGGGAGCAGTAATTCAAGCTTCCATCCTCTTCAAGGATACTTTGCAGTCTTTAAAGGTGCTGACCCACTGAGTTAAACTGTCAAGGGAGGATAAAAAAGTATCTTCATCCCAGGAGGTAACAGCTGCCAGGTTTTCAACACCTTGCACACTGCTGGAAAAATGTCACAATTGTCAGCTGAAAGAGAAATGACTCTGTTGTCATTTTCTGTTAATGACTAGATCTTATAAAAGGAACTACTTATGCTTTTTTTAAAAAAAAAAAGAAGGCATAAGTAACTGTTTTCTTTGCTTACTATCTCTTCCTCCCCTAAAAAAATTTCTACATTATTGTAAACATCACTTTGGAATAGATCTGCAAAAACCAGAGGTGAAGAGCTAAAAGTTAAAATAGCCAGTTTAAGCATGGAAGTCTGATGGGTACAGCTCCTTTCTACAGTTGGATGAGTAGGAGGAAAAAGCACATCACTGACACAGAAAATGGCATTGTAGTGTGTATTAACAAAACAACAACAACAAAAAGTCATTCATAAACCAGTGAACTGAGAGAAAACATACTATATTTCTATTCTTTGGAGGACAATTTGTTTTCAAGGCAGCATCCAGATGGGTAAATACCACGACATTTCTTTTTTCAAGAGAGCTACTTCTTTTCTTACTTAAAGGGGGGGGGGTCAAACCTCACAGAATTTACTTCCTTTAAGAGCTCTATAGTGTTCAAATATGATGGTATTCTCTTCTTTCTGATTTGATTGATGAGGGGAAAAGGTTTAATGAAGTCCCTGCTACCAGGCAGGCAGTTTTTTTTTTTTTCTATTTGTTTTAGGTTAGTCATTTTAATTGTATTGAGTAATTAGAAGGTACACACAGCCAAGGGAGCTTTGTTCTGATAATTGCTCAAGAAAACCCATTCCCTATCTACCATTGCTTTGTGTTAAGACACTTCTCCCTCTAGTGGCAATAGTAAGCACTTTGGCTTGGCAGTAGGCAAGGTGTAATTGCAGTATGACAAACTGTGCTTAAGGGACTATCTTGTAAATACTTTAGGGTTTGGCATTATTTCATTATATGTGTGGTTTTTACCCTATGAAACTTCTTACTTCCTTTTTTTTTTTTCCAGAACTGCTCTGGGCTTTGCATGGAAAAATTGCCTGAAATGTTTATTAAAAAAAAATCATAGTGCATTCTGGGTAATGTTTTGCAGCTTGACTTAATTTTAGTCATCTGTTTTAATTACCTATTTATAAAAATGCTTTTGCATTTGTAGACATTATTTAATACTTTGGAAGAAGCACCTCATTTGAAATAAATAAATAAATTTGTACATATTTTAAATAGTCCATGTAAAAGACTTAAAGGTAATTAATGTAGGTCTCTTAAGTAAGACAAAAGTGATCTTTCTGAATCTGATGAAGTGATTTGTTTATATAACTTCCCACTTCTGCTGAATCCTTCAGAGTCTAATAATGTTAAAAAAAAAAAAACATAGTTTGGCAATTTGTGCCTAGTTACAAAAACCCTTCTTCAAAAATAAGCAATTTAATAACTAGCTTTCTTAAAATTACTTTGAGGAAGAAAGACTGTAATAGGGGGTTGGTGTTTTGTTTTATTTTTATTTCAGTGTAATCATTCTTTGACAAATTGTGTAATCATTGACTTAGTAGAAAAATATTATTGAACTCCTGGGTTGCAATGACCATAAAAAGTGTATTTTCATATAGAGAGTTGAGATATCGTGAATAAATTATAAAGGAAACAGCTTATATGCTGG